CCTTTTATGTTCAGTGTGGTGATCTTAATCATGATATAGATATTTGGCCACACTTGTGGTTGTTTGTGGTTAAATGCGAGGAGAAGTAACTTCTTGAAAGTTATTCTCCTTATCTACTTTGTTAACTCTGGTAAATGGAGAGAAACTTTCTTTTCTTTTTTCGAGATAACAGGAGTAAATTCTCTTTCGTCTTTGTTATTCTTTCCATTATTAGATATAATAGCTATTTCTATATCTGTTGTTGTAGTATTGTTTACAGATATGTCTGCAGCTTCTGGTCTATTTTCAGTTGTTTCTATCTCGTTAGTTTCTGTTTTTGTGTCTGTGATCTTATGTTCTTCTGTCTGAGATGTTTCTAGTAAAGTTGTTACTACTGGAGGTTGGGTATGTTTTGTGCCTCTGTGTTGCTTTCATCAGCCTTTTCCAAAATCATTTCTAAAATATAAAGATTTTCTGGACTGAATTGAGTTTGTGTTTCAGCTTCATTTAGATTCTGACTTTCTGCTTTAAGTTTGTCTAAATTCGATTGAAGCTTTTAACTCCTTGCAGTCCTTCTTGATATGCCCTGTTTGTTCACAGTAGTAACAGACTTTTGGAGCTTCTTTCCAGTCTGTTGAGACTTTGTGGTCTTCTACGTGTGTATATTTAGAAAGTCTTTGGGCTAGATCAGGGTCTTCTGTAGTTTCAAAAGTAATGATCTATTGATCTGAATATACTGATATTTCTTTGAATAGAAGCAGTTTGATTGAAGCGATAGTGCCTACATCTTGAAATGCTATCTTGACCAATTCATTTATTTGTTTTTTTTCTTCTATCACAAACACATTACTCTCAACATGGATAAGCAACCAAACAACAAGAAGGCCACGCTTTCTTTAGATAGCGACAAAATTTTCAATTGAAGAAAACAAAAAAAATATAGCAGAACAGACAACAACAACAATAGCAACAACAGCTGCAAGTCAGAAACTAGTGCATCATCAATAAGCTTAAAACAAGCTGGGCTAACCAAGTTGAAAAGGAACAAGCCAAAGAAACAGCAGAAACAATGACAGAAGAATTACTCAAGAGCCAAGAAACACATACTGAAAATGTAAACAAAACAAATCACATGTTAGAGATAAACAATAAACAAGACAAAATACACGTGTCTAACACTGGCCCATCAGAGAACTCAACTCATGGGGATGAAGACACCC